GAAGAAGAAGAAGAAGAAGAAGAAGAAGAAGAAGAAGAAGAAGAAGAAGAAGAAGAAGAAGAAGAAGAAGAAGAAGAAGAAGAAGAAGAAGAAAGAGAGAGAGAGAGAAAGAAAGAAAGAAAGAAAGAAAGAAAGAAAGAAAGAAAGAAAGAAAGAAAGAAAGAAAAGAAAAGCAATTTGTTTGTCCCTTGGCAAATTAATATCCTGCATGCAGAATGCCTCACTTTATCAGCACTTAATCCAAAAGATGGAAAAAGAGTTATTTCTTGAAATGGTGTGTTTGTGTTTCAGTCCTTCAGTAAATCAAATAGCTGGCCAGAACAGATTTGCCAGGTATATTCAGACAGTGCTGCATTCAGAAGTGTTTGCACACTTTTGAGAAATTGATTACCTTTCTCACAGAGATGATGCCAGCTTGGTAATTAAGATCGGTGGTAATATCAAAAACGTCCAGTCCATCCCCATCCACAAAGCTGTATTTCATCTCAGCGTTAATACCTTCGTCCAAGTCTTTAGCAAGAACATGGCCCACAGTGGAACTGACGGGAGCAGATTCCAGTACGCTCATCTGATAATGTTCTGGAGAAAGAAATAAGAAAAAGACAATGATTGCCACAAAACTTAGATAAAGTTATTATCATAAACCGTGGGGCTACAACAGCAGGGAGAAATAGTGGTAAATAAATGAGATTAAATTTTTTTTTGCTTGCAATTGTGTAATCATTCACACACAAAGGTCTGTCTCCTGCTTGACTGCTTGACAGAAACATCTCTATAGCTTTTTTTTGACAACAGTATGGAAGTAATTGGTTGCTATTTTCTTTCAAGAAAATATTTTAGCTTACAGTCCTATCATTTTGCCTTTTCTTAGGACAACCTTGAAAATTGGGTAAGACTAGGTCCTGGGAAACCTGTGCTGTGCTGGGCTTTGATGCTGTTTCTTGTCACAATGGTAGGATTAGCCTAGCCTGGGCTGGTGGAAAACATCTAAGGATGCCTGTGACAGCAATCAAGCCATATTTAGAGTCTAGGCCCAAGGACAAAGCCACCCAAACAGAAATGTTTTCACTGTCCGTCTTTCAGATGCACATATATAAGATTCACTAGGCCCAGCTTCAGGTATTCGGCATAGCTCTGAGACTGTCCTGGGACTGCTTGGCAGACTTGTCACCATGGGAGTGGCTGCTTTGCTGGTGGAGTTGATTTTTCTTCTGGCACAGATGATATTAAGAGGAGGATAAAAATATTTTTTAAAAAAGCCAATCTCATTGTTGTACTTTGACAATAAAGGTAACAGTAATAATGAGCTGACCTATCCTAACTGATCCAGGCCAAATAGTAAACAGACACTAAAGAAGTGATCATCTGAACAACAATAACAACCATAAGAACAATTTCTTCAGAATATTTTCAGCACTTTTGTTTTGTTTAACTCTCAGTCATTTATAGTACTATCTTCTTAAAACCCTGATCCTTTCTTCAATTAATACAATTGAACTTACACTATGGATTTCTAATTTCTCAATTTTCAGGGTCACAACCTTTTCGTGGTGCCTTCAGTCCCATGATTCCTTTAACCTCTGGTTTGACATAAAAAGCTGTGGAGGCACAGTGGTTAGAATGCAGTATTGCAGGCTAATTCTGCTGACTGTCGGCTGCCAGAAGTTCGGCAGTTCGATTCTGATCAGCTCAAGGTTGACACTACCTTCCATCCTTCCGAGGTTGATAAAATGAGGACCCAGATTGTTGGGGACAATATGCTGACTCTGTAAACTGCTTAGAGAGAGTTGTAAAGCACTGTAAAGTGGTCTAAGTGCTATTGCTATGGCAAGTTGCACTCCTCCAAAACTAACTTTCTTCATTGCTTTCTTTTTCTTCTCTCCCTAACTCCTCGTTGTCATATCTATAATCATTTTTTTTTTGCATCACCCAGGGTGCATATACAATTCCTTCTATTTTCCCCACATTTCTTCTCTATCACGCCACCTCCCTTTCCTAGAAAGATATGCACAATTTCACATAATGCCAGGTCAAATTATTTCACATAGATATTTGGAAAGTAAATATCCTAAAAAGAGCAAGAGGCTTCCATGTTGTTTCAAGCTATGGCTAAGCTCTTTTTCAGCACTTCAGATGCTGAACTCTTTTCAGTGGCTGTGATAATTTTACAAGAATAAATATGTTTTATGACATATTTTCCTTTTCAGGATCATTATCTTTGTATATATCTATCTTTCCCACCTTTGGCTTCTTTGTCTTATACTTTACATTGTAAGCTTTCAGTGCAGGGATTTATCTTGCTGTTACTTTTGACATGCCTCACATACTGATACATACAAAATAAATACAAACCAGACTTTATTATGCAAAATAAATAAAATCACTATTCATATTATAGCCAATGCTTACTGAATAGCAAGCAAATAATAACGTATCAGCTGAAGCATGCCTTCAAATTGAGAGATCCCTTGAGAAGCTGGAGGGCAACAAAATACAAACCATGGACACTACTTACTCTGTGGAAATCTGGGTGGATTATCATTAACATCAGAGAGAGAAATATTGACTGTGGTTGTCCCGGCTAATCCTCCCAGCTGTCCACCCATGTCTTTGGCTTGGATGATAACTTCATAATATTCTTTTGCTTCTCTGTCCATATTCATTAGTGCTGTCCTAATTAATCCTAGGGAAACCACAGAGAATAATACAGAAAAATACCAATTTATTAAACAATAATATGTCAAATTAACTGGAATTAGCCTTGATTTGAAAATATAGGCAGTTCTTGACTTATGACCACAATTAAGCCCCAAATTTCTGTTGTTAAGTGAGGTATTTGTTAAGTGAGTTTTGCCTCATTTTAAGACCTTTCTTGCCACAATTGTTAGGTGAATCACTGTAGTTGATAAGTCAGTAACCCGGTTGTTAAGGGAATCTGGCATGCCCATTGACTTTTCTTGAGTAAAGATCGCAAAAGATGATCACCTGACCTTGGGACACAGCAATGTTCATAAATATAAACCAGTTGACATAAATATGAACCAGTTGACAAGCATCTGAATATTGATCACAGGATCGTGGGGATGCTGTTGTAATTTTGAAAGACAGTCACAAGTCACATTTTCCAGTGTCACTGTAACTTTGAATGGTCACTAAACAAACTGTTATAATTTGAAGACTACCTGCATTGCCTTTTCAAATAATTATTTCAAAGATTTCCAAGAAAGAATGATCTTTTATCAACTGGGAACTGACTTTGTTGATATCATTTTTGATTACCCAAAGCAATTGTTACGAAGGGTTATCTCAGAAGACAGTGAATTTCTCAGATTATAGCAGGAAATCCTGTTTATTTTTGAAGTAGAATTTGATTTTCAACAGGAAATGTAAAAGAAACATTACAAACAAGTTTTCCAGTTAGCATTAAGTGGTAATTACTATTTGAAATATTTCATACTTTTTTTTAATCTTCTCAGAGATGTAACACATTTGCCTTAAACCATAATGGTTTAAGTCAAATACTTATTTAGTTAATTGTAATGCCATTTCTTTTTAAATAAGCATTGTATTTCTGATCTGAACCACATGCATATTTGATGCCATTAGAAAGTCAATACATTGTTGCTGGATTCATTTAGGATGCTCAGGTTGTTATATCAACAATGCTTCAAAATTTTAATATGATGCTCTCACACTGCTTAAAACTGGTGAACTGGAAACTGGTGAACAATTAAGCCAATTGCAATTAACAAGCATCTCAAGTGAAACAGAATATGGACCAGCACAATAAGAACAGGTAAATCTGCTGTAGAGAATACAAGAAGATGGTAATAGTCATTGAAATTTTTTCCATCTCAAATAAACATCTGGGTTTGTGGAAACCAGGTTTCTTTTCTGAGAACTTCACTGAAAGTAAACATGAGCAAGGTTGCCCTGAGAAATCCTGCCAAGACCAATTGTTCCTTTTACTGAATCATGTTGCTCTTGGGTATAGAACAGGAGCCAGAAATCCTTAAGGTCTGCTGGCTATTTCACAATTGAACAGGATTTAAATGTAGGTTTACAAATTCACCAATACTTTAATTTTTATTTTATTTAAGAATTTAGGTAGCTGCCCATTTTACCTCAGTGAGTTTAGATAACTAAATTCAGCAGCAACAACAAATAGTAACAGAAACAACAATAATTAATATTATGTAGGCCCAGGCCTAAGAATATTAATCCATATGGATCAAGCAATGAATCTACTTATAGACTGGCTTAATCTTTCAGCCCCAGGCATGAGGAAACATTCAGGTCTTTAATGCCCTAGAAAGGGCCAGAAAGATCAAGATCAGACAGATCTCTTGAGGGATGAAAAGACAATGCTGTTCCCTTCTTGATGGAAGGGACTTGAACTAGGCCAATCCTGCAGTTTTGGTGAGGTGATCACCAATATCAGATCATGATATTTCCAAGAGTGTCCTGCCCTAATGTCATGTAGGTGACAAACAATTGAATGTCGTCAGGAACCTAGTGCAGCTTGTGGAACAGAGGCATTAAATGGACTCATCATGAAATTAACCCTTGTGCTACTGCATTCTGAACCAGCTGCAGCTTCTGAAAGCTATTGAAAGCTATGCAGCCTGAAGGTGAGTAAGATACAATTTCTTTCTTTTTTCTTTTTTAAAAAAACTGCTTTTAAATATTAGTGTACTGGTAACAGTATTACACTGCTGTTCCATCTGTATTGGGTGGGGCTCAGGAATTCTGGGAGTTGAAGTCCACAAGACATAAAAGGGCCACAGTTCTTCACCTTTGATCTGTATGATCAAATCTTTGCTTGCCACCTGTCTCTCTCCACCCACCTTGAAAGACATAATAAGCTACCATTTGTAGCGGGAAAACTGTATTTTTATACCAAAATATATATTTTGTGTGTGTTTCTTTTAACCTTGATTTCCTCATGTACTTTACAGTAATTCTATTAGAATTTGATACAGCACTTAGTCAAGTTAATAATTCTGTACTCATCTGCCCGTGCTCCCTAATTAGTCATGTTTTTTTTGTATCTCAATACTTTAGAGCTTGGTGCTTTAGTGAAGTACGATGGGACGCATAGTTATTGACTACTTGGCTTTGATGATGAAGCCCAAACTGAACACGCCACGACAGCTAAACACAGATGTCACATGTGGGAATGATTTTGGATGAAATTACCTGTTTTGGAATCCACAGAGAAATATGGCTGTCCTTGGAGAACGCTGTAGACTACTCTGGCACTGTTCCCGTAAGTAGGATCATCAGCATCTGTTGCTGTCACTTGGATAACAGAGGTGCCTGATGAAAACAGTGCAGAACCTTGTTAAGATTTTGGAAGAGAAGACATGGACAGACAGGAAGATCTAACAAGGACCAATGAATTGCAGGCTTTCTCATGCAAAGATGTTCTTTCTGTGTCTTAAGAATGTTGCACGCATGAGTCATTAGCAGTAATGGGAGTGACAGGCATAAATTTATTACACATCAAAAAGTGATCTGTAGTGAAACTATATATAAGTTATGAATGCTCTGTTAAATGTGGATCTTTATTTCTTTTGCTTTAAAATGTTTATGTAAAATATACCCATTGTGTTATCATTAAAAAAGAAAAACTGGCAGGAACCTTCAGAAATATTTTTACAGATATCTGTATATCTGCACAACCATCTGTATATGGTACTTTCTAATCCTACAGCCAAAACAGTGTCACTGAAAATGAATATACCACTGACTATATTCATATCACCATATAACTTTCATAATGAGAATACAGAACTCTTATTTCTAGAGATGATTTGAACTTAATGCTATACAATACAATATTTTTCTCGAAGTAGCCGGTCATCCTGGTATGAAAATTTCAGCAGGTAATTCACAAAAACTAGATTTCTTCCACAAAGACCACCCTTTATACCATCATTCTTCTTCCTGGCTTGTGCTCTGACTTGCCTGAAATTACAGTCTGGATTGTACATCTAATTTTTATTTTTTCTTCTGTGTTGTGTCTAAGGAGTCAGATTAGATGTGGAGAGACTTGCAAAAGCTCATTGGATCCCAACCTCAAAGAGTTATTTTTAATAAGAGCAGGAAATATTATAGGTGATGACTCAAGATCTTAAATGAAAGCTGGTATATAAGACAAACAAACAAACACAATTGTTTTTGTCAAAGAGATGGAATCGAGGAAAATATTTATGAAGTGTATTTACGTCCAAGTTTAACACATATTACATTCTTTATGTTTTCCTTACCCACTGGTGACATTTCAGGAACTGAAGCAACATATGGCCCATCTAGGAATTTGGGTTCATTATCATTGATATCTTGGATTTTGATGATAAATTCAGATTCTGGTTCCATTGGTCTTCCGGTTCGTCTGTCCAAGGCTTGGGCCCTTAAAGTATACTGAGACCTTTCTTCTCGATCTAGTCTCTGAATGGCATGGATATCTCCAGTGGTGTCATCAATAGTAAAAACAATTCCTGCTCCTTCTCCCGAAAGAATATATTTAATTGATCCATCTCCTCTGTCCATATCAGAATGGAGCTACAAAAAGTAATGAAACAGAATTGGTAAACAGAACTTGCAAGGTGTTCACTTAATGAATTTGCTGCAGGAGGTTTGTGATCATATGATACAAAAGGACTAGCAAGTTCAATTATTGTAATAATAATAAAAGATTAAGTATTCAGATTTATGATTATTCTCAGTGTTCGAATATAGAACTGAGAATAAAGGAAAGAATCATTTTCATAGACTATGGGACTGACTGACAAAATACAAATAATTTAAAAATTCAAAAATCTAAAACACCAAAACCAGCTGCTGTTCATGAGCAATTGAGGCAGAAAAAAAGTACTAACTCTTATTGGCTGTGAAAATAATAATAATAATAATAATAATAATAATAATAATAATAATAATAATAATAATAATAATCTGTGATTGTCCTATAAACAACATAAAAAATATACATTACAGATTTTACTTATTGCATTCCTCTCATGCCACATCTTCTCCAGATGGTGAAGTTTTTGTGTAAACTTGACACTGCAAATTTTTTGATCTAGTACCATAGGTGCTTTCTTATAATGCTGCAAATGTTATGTCCCTTAATGGTAGCCAAAGCCTTATGCCATCTGGCAACCTTCCATCATCCTCTGCAAATATAGTTGCAATGAATGATCGCAATTGCTCTCCAAAAGCACACTGAAGCTGTCAGGTTGGGCAAGTTTGCGGTAGCATAACTATGAAATATAACTGAAGGGTTGAACTATAAATAAAATCTGGCACGATTCTACGGAATAAGATGTGATGGGGGACACTCAGAACAGGGAACACATTAAATGAATGGCTGTTACTAATTCCTACAGAGGGCAGCAATGTATGGTATTTAGAAAAAATATTGTAAAAGAGGCGAAATCTGCCTACTACTGTCTTGAATAGATGACTTAACCATCACTAATAGAGATCCCATAGAGAGGAGCAAAATACTTTCAACGCCCCCTGGAAGTCTAGGGTTATAAAACATATGCATACATACATACATACATACATACATACATACACACACATACATGTACGTAAGTACGTACACACACACACACACACACACACACACACACAAAATATTTGGTTTTAAAAGAGTGATCCTGGATAAATTACATCCAAAACATCCAAATAATGCTTCTTTGCATTATTTTTTTCTAGAACCTAAAGACCATTCATTATGGGGCAAAGTAAAATTTATGAATGTATATCCATTCCTATTATATCTCCATCTTTCTTTCTTTATGATCTCTATATTTTTTTTATCTAATTTCTTTACACTGTGTTCTAATATATAAAAGCAAATTCAAGTTATTTGCACATCATTTGCACTGCAAATAAAGAATGGGCTAATTATGATATCTACTAATTTGGAAGAGCTGACATATACTGGATTCACCTTATAACACACTGTATATATAAATATTTACAGGGAGTATGAGAACACAGCACAAAAATTACTTTGAAAGAATAGTAAAATATACAGATTTTTTAAAATGACCCTGTAATTCCTTGCATCAGGATGGAGTTTGGGTGACTGAATGGAGCTGAGCATTTACAGGCCGGATGCCTTTCCTGACACCTATGTGGAGCTCACAGCAGATATAACATCTCTGAAGGCATCTAAATACCATAGAAGAAGCTTTGAAGTCTGTCTCAAGGAAAGGCAGGTAAAGGGTGATGTGGGAGCACATCATAGTTTGTATTTGGAAAAGTATACAGTTCTTGATCGACAATGGCATTGATGGTGCAAGAAAAACAAAGCACTGGAGCTAGAAAAAAGCACTAAAATTTTCCACATTACTGTCCTTTTCCTTTCCTCATCACTCTAAACCACAATTAACAAGTGGATCATAAAAATGTACACATGAAATAAGTCATTAAAAAACCAAGGCTGCTATGTGGTCTACATATTTGGTCCCAAAGCTATTGCTTCTTTGCATTGTAATATCCCACTCCTAATCAGTATTTCTTAGTTATCCAAGATTAAATCGAAAGTACAAAAATAACAATGCAGTGTATTTGTTTCACAGAATATAATGTAGTTAAGTAAAGGAGAAATAATAAAGTTATAATGTGGACATTATTAAAAAAAAACAAGATAAGACAATTGTTTGGGACATCTTTATGCACTCGCACACTGCTACAGATAAATACATGATAAAATGTTAAAGGCAGTTAATGAATCAACACATTGCACAATAATTAATTAGTTCTGAGCACACTTTAGTAATCTCATACACCAGCAAAATAAAGTACTGTTATCTTTTACGAAAACAAGAACAATTCAATTAATAACATGCCTGCCGTTTCCTTGGAAAAATAGTCAAATAAATATTAAACATACATAATCTGTGACTTGATTAAAAAGCTTGTGGAACCCTAATTCACAACAGAAGACTGAATAGGCATTGTGTTTGCCTTTCACATGTATTGATAGAAAAAAAAGTTGAAAAACAAGAAGTAAACACTGCTCCTTTTATTGAATTTAGAAGATGTCTAGTAATGTGATTGAATCTCAAGATCCACAAAGGAAGACTCATTTGCATATTAATCTTGGCCACAATAACCTTATCCTACAGCATTAGTTGGATTTTACAATTTCTTGTTTTCACTTGTATATAATTCTAGGTTTTTTAAAAAAATATTTGATAATTATAAAAAAAATACAAATGCAGCTCCTAAGTAACTCATGAATGCAGCTAAAAATCTTAGAGCAGGAATGTTAAAAGAGAGCACATTGTTAACATGTCATTATAATTTTGTATACCAATTATGCACTAAAGCACTATAGTGTTGCACTAAGCTCAATAAAGTCCCCCCCCCCCCACCATTTCATCCTTCCTGCTTTTTATTAGAGGGAATCTTTTTGGAACAGTTGGGTTGTTCAGCAAATATTTTATGTATTTAAAATATTTACATAGTCACCCATCTTATATCAAGCTCTGGGTGGCTCCCAATACAAATTTAAAACATGCATCTTGCCTCTTCTACTTAATTCATCTGCAAAACTCTATCCTGAAAAAAAAATCTGTGAACTCCATAAAATACTTTAAAACCCAAACTCATTTAAAAAAAGGAAAACAAAGATATTTTGATTACTGTATAAATATTTCTGTGGAATGAGGTGAGTGAACAAACAGCTTAAGTCTTTTTTCTCCTAGAACGATAAGCTTCACAATGAGATCATTTCTTTCATGTTAATATTCATCTCTGAACATCTCCCTACACACAGTCTTCCCAGTGTTTCCAGAACAGAATCTGCTCATCTGGCGCAGACTTCTGTTGAAGGTCCTTGGTCTTTTCTATATATATAAAAATTTGCAGCATAACTCTGGAACGCCTCGAGCAATTTCAACCAAACTTGGTACACAGATGACTTATCCTCTGGAAACAAACACTGTGAGGGTAAGACCCCTAACAGCCCCTGGTGTGTGTGTGTGCCTTAAAATGGATTCTACTGTACAGCACAGTGGACTTGCCATGGTAACGGCTTCACAGTACTCCACAAGGGGATTCCCTCTCAGCCCTCCAAGGAAGCGTCAGGTGATTGGCCAAGTGCAATCAAATGCTACAAAATTGAAACACCAGCATAGACAAGCAACTCCCAAGGAGAGGAATAGAAGACTTGCGATGCTGCGCAAGAGATAGTACAACAGCATGAGTCCCAACTACAGGATTTTCCTGTCTAAGATAGGATTGGGATAAATAAATACCTGGGCAATGCTGGGTTATTGGCTAGTTGTAAAATAAATGGGAGATGGACCAATTAATATACCTTCTCAAAAATGATCTTCTAGCTATCAGAGTGATTTGGTGAATCATCAAAGGTAGCAGTAGTTGCTGTTGCTATATTATTTGTGTTGATATTATACATTAAATTGTTGTTCACTGCCCAGAATTTTTAGATTATTAAATAATCACTGCTTGTGAGCAAGACGCCCCCTTTTGCTTAGTCTGTAGGCAAAAGCAGGTGAAAAATCTACAAAGAAATACTGTTTGGCTATCTCCTGGGCCTTTACTGTCGAGACCCTTGACTAGATAGATAAAATCAAACTTTATTTAAAAAGGACAGAGAAAGAAAGAATATAAATATCCCCTTTTAAGTAGCATGTAGAAAAATTCAGCAACAAAGGATATGAAAAATATGGAGCTGTTCAACCGACAGACCACATCAAGAGAACCTCCGGTAGAAAAATGGGCAGAATCTAATGCTTGGAGCTGTTCACAGGATAATAGATCTGCTACTAATATAGAAGGAACTCTGGTGTAAAAACTTGCTAATTTACTTAAAACACACTAGGAGTGAGTGTGTGTAGATATCACAATAATCAGAAACAACAGATTATTTAGCTTTGCATCTCCCATGCTGGAGAGGTTCAGAAGAATCTTAGGGCTGCTGAGGTCAAAGAAGGCCAAGAGGGATACTCTAGCTTCATTTTGACTCCCCCAGAGAACATTTACAATGTTCTTACAAGGTCTAAACAGGGATGGTGTTCAAATTTCTTAACAACCGGTTCTGTGGGCTATTTTGTGGGTGTGTCTTGGTGGTCATGTGACTAGGTGGGTGTGGCTTGCTGACTGGGCATGGCTTGTATATAAATATTTATGAAAATATTGATATTTTTTTTTTTTATAAAAAAGAGCAACTTTTACCCAAAATCAGGCAAAGCAGGCAGGCAAATTGAGTTGCTCACAGAATCACAGAGTCACGCATAGATCTACCTTTCTGGAATCGGCTTATAAAATTTGGTAGCAAGCAAACTCTCAAAATTAACTCACAACACACCATGTATGTAAATATTGAATTTTTTTATAAAAAAAGAGCAACTTTTACCCAAAATCAAGCAAAGCAGGCAGGCATATTGAGTTGCTTGCAGAATCACAGAGTCACTCACAGATCTACATTTCTGCAATCTGTTGCCGAGTCTGCACTGAAAAATAGAAGCTTCAGTCCTAAGGAAGGTTCAACTCTGCTCTCAGGCCACTTCTCCCCCCCCTGCTCAAACCCCTGAGTACCACCCCTGACTGGGCCTCAGGGAAGCCTCCTGGGTGAAGGTGAAGCAGTACAACAGCGATTTAGATTAGCTAGAAAGCAAGAAATATGACAATTTGCTACTTTCTAGCTAATCTAAATCGTGTGGCACAGCTGATAGTCAGAACAGCTGATCATTGGGAAAAAAAGGAAAAATAGCAACTTACCCAAAATTAGACAAAGGCACAACACAGGCAAGTTGAATGGTCCGTATGCAAGATAAGGAGTGACTGAGTGGGGAGGGGTGGGTGGGGAAGGGCGGGACCAGCCAGTGACACGATTTGCCGGTTCTCCAAACTGCGCAGAATTGTAACAACTGGTTCTATAGAACTGGTCTGAACCGGTGCAATCCCACTCCTGAATCTAAACCATCCTAGTGCTGTATCCCAGATAACAGATAATCAGAGTTGGAAGGGACCTTGTAGGTAATCTAGTCCAACCCCCTGCCCAAGCTGGAGATCCTACAACATTTCTGATAAACGGCAGTCCAATCTCTTCTTGAAAGTCTCAACTGATGACGCTCACACAACTTCTGACGGCAAGCTGTTCCATTGGTTGATTGTTCTCACTGTCAGAAAGTTTCTCCTTATTTCCAGGTTAAATCTCTCCTTGTTCAATTTCCATCCATTATTCCTTGTCTGGCCTACAGGTGCTTTAGAAAATAGTTTGACCCCTTCCTCTCTGTGGCAGCCCCTCAACTATTGGAAGACAGCTATCATGTCTCCCCTGGTCCTTCTCTTCACTAGACTAGCCATGCCCCGTTCCTGTTACCATTCTTCATGTGTTTTAGTCTCTGGTCCCCTAATCATCCTGGTTGCTCCTCTCTGTACTTTTTTTAGAGTCTCAACATCTTTTTTATAATGTGGTGACCAAAACTGGATGGAGTACTCTAGGTGTGGTCTTACTAAGGCTTTATAGAGTGGTATTAGTACCTCACTTGATCTTGATTGTATCCCTCTGTTAATGCAACTTAGGATTTCATTAGCTTTTTTGGCTGCTGCTGCACACTGCTGGCTCATATTTAGCTGGTTGTCCACCAAGACTCCAAGATCCCTCTCACAGTTACTGCTATTGAGCCTGGTTTCACCAGTCTATATGTGTACTTTTGTTTTTTCTTGCCTAAGTGTAGGACATTACTTTTCTCTACATTGAATTTCATTTTGTTAGATATGGCCCAGTATTCTAGTCTGTCAAGATCCATCTGGATCTTGAGCCTATCTTCTTGGGTGTTAGCTATTCCTGCCAGCTTAGTATCATCTGCTAATTTATTAAGTATCTTCTATTCCCTCATCAAAGCCATTAATGAAGATATTGAAGAGTACTGGGCCTAAGACAGAACCTTGTGGCACCACACTGCTTACTTCCCTCCATGTAGACTTAGACCCATTAAGACTACTCATTGAGTACAGTTTGTCAGCCAGTTGTGAGTCCATCTAGCGGTGGTGCTATCTATTCCACTTTTTTCTAGCTTACCAAGAAGTAGGTTGTGGTCTACTTTGTTGAATGCCTTGCTGAAATCTAAATACTGTATATTATGTACACGGCATTTTGCTGGTCTACTAATTTAGTCACTATGTTGAAGAATGAAATAAGATTGGCTTGGCATGATCTGTTTTTAACAAACCCATGCTGACTGCTAGTTATTATTTTACTTGTTTTTAGATGTTGGCAGATCTGCTTTTTTATTATCTTTTCCAGTATCTTCCCGGATATTGATGTTAGGCTGATTGGTCTATAGTTTCCTGGGTCTGTTTTTCCCCATTTTTGAAAATGGGAACTACATCAGTTCTTTTTCAGTCCTCTGGTAGTTCCCCGGTGCTCCAGGCTTTTTGAAAGATACGGTGCAGTAGTTCTGATATGACTTCTGCCAGTTCCTTTAAAACTATGGGATGTAATCCACCAGGCTCTGGTGATTTGTGTTCATCAAGATCAGACAGGTGTTCTTTTATTATTATTTTTTGCTTATTTTAACTTTTATTTCTGGTCTGTCTTTTACAGTTATGTTTTGGTAGGCTGAGCTATAGTTTCTTTTTGCATGAAGACCGATCCCAGTCTGAAATCCAATTGAAAAGAGTCAAGATACCTGCAATATTTTTACTAGTATCTTCTGAAAGAGTCCCTACCATTTTCTCAATAATCTTTCATAAATATGGAAGGTTTTGGTCTCTGTAGAGATTAAGAAAGATTATGTCAACAAAGATATGCAGGAACTGTTACCGAGATAAAAAGAATTAGGGTTAATAGTAGGGTTAGGGTTAGGTTAAACATTTTTAGAGTGAAATACCTTTCAGAAACAACTCAGGCAGATAGCTACCTAATTCACTGAATGATAAGGAAAAAGTGTAGACTTGCAAGATCTGTAATCATAGTCAATCTCAATAGAAGTAGTTTTAACCTTCCTGTAACAACGATTTCCTGGTCTGGTCTCTCTAGTGGGACTGATAGAGACTGACCAAAAATTGTCTAGCACTGTGGGATCCAGCAGCAGTTTCGTAAGGATGAGATGGAACATTGCTTCTTTATGCCCTAGCACATGCTACCCACTCTCTCAAGGAGGGATTTACCACTGCCTGGATCTAACCATGTGGTGTTACTTTGGGTTACTTTGAGCAACTTGGGGGGACATGGCTATAATTGTACCCACAGATCCAAAGAGTCTGCTCACTTCCTTGGTACTCACAGGTTTGAGCTATTCTCAACTAATCAAGCCAGACCTTGCTTCAGCTAACTCCAAAGAAGCTGCAAAGTCTAGCTCTAAATGGTTACAAAGAACTTTATGCAATAGATGTCTTTGCACAGCACTGGTAGACATTTCCTTGGCACCTTCCTTCACCGGAGGGATTGAATCATCTTAAATAGAGCTACCAGCTGATTATCTACAGATGAGATAAGAGCAGAAAAGGAACCATGTTTTCTTTCAATTATTACCTCACAGTAAACCTAAATAAGATTTTATCTGTATCTAATCATATTTGGTTCATCCTCTTCCTCCAATGCTCTAAGGTTCTCTTTTGTCATTTTATCTCTCCTTGTTCTTTTGAGAACCAAGGAGAGATGAGAGAATCCATTCAGGCACAATTCGATCTCTAACCATCATTGTGCCCTCATTCCAGGCAATGGCAATGGCCTCAAAAGATCCTTGCATCACAGCCTTAAAAATATCCTAATTTTCCCTCGGAAACATTTTTGCAGTGAAGAAAGATGACAGAAGACTTCAAAGTTGACAGATAGTGATCTGACCATGACAAAGGTTTAATAGTTAATATTGCCTAACTCCAGATATCACGGTCACCACCCTGGTACAAAAGCAGGTGTGATGTGTGACTATTTCTGTGAGTTAGGCTTTTAATAATCCAGGTCAGTCTATAGTTGCCATGATGCCATGGACTCCTGGGTTGCCTCTGACTGCATACCCAAATTAAAGGAAAATAAAAATATACAGTATGAACTTCTGGGCAGTTCTGTTGCTAACCAGCCACAGTGGAGAACAGCTTTCTTTCAAGAAAAGAGACAAATAGAGTCTCTTTCCTTTTCTACCCTCAGACTGAGGTGCTGGGAATTTATATCAGTGCATTTATCACACATTGAAGGGTCAATTGTTGATTTAGCCTAGAGCCCACTTCTTCCTGTTGCTCTGTGCTGGTTTAGGGAAATGCCTAAATTATCTGAACTGACCATGGAATCAGCTTGACGTTGAAGTCTCTCGCCCTAAATACCTCCAGCACTTAATCTCCTAGATTATACCAAACTTTTTCAGGAACATTGTAAGTCTAGTTCAGCCAATCCTGTGATTGAGAAAAAATATTTTAAAACTCCGTATGTTTTTGTATAGCTCAGGATAATTTAAACAAGTGTTTTTCAACTTGGCAACTTTAAAACATATGGACTTCAACTTCCAGAATTCCACAATTAGTAAGCATTTCTGGGAGTTGAAATCTGCACATCTGAAAGTTACCAAGTTTGGAAAACATAGATTTAAGCACTGCTCCCTATCCCAAGAGGGCTGATTCTGGTTTCTGTTCCACCTGTGATGAACTTAATAGTGGGTCTTAGACTCAAATCTTAACTTGATTCAAATCGCTGTGCTTTCCATTAATTATGATTAAAAAGACAATAAATGGCAATTGCTTTGGTTTTCTCCTGTGTGATACTGCATATATTTAATCAATTTTCAACCCACATTCTATTAAAAGTAATCTGAAATTGAACTAAATTTGCACAATTATAGCCTCTCATGAGATTGCAACACATGCCAAACTGAAGACAAAACATGGATTTTTTTTTTTTGTCATCAGAGAGATCTGCCAATAACATTTTATTTCTTGGCATAAGTGAAAATAATATTCAAGCATAGTTGACTCTTCTGAGGGGATAAATCTGTCAGGTTTCAGATGATTAGGTTCAAGGGTTTTATGTTTCTATCCTGGTTAATGAAAAATGTAAGACAAATGTCCAAAAAGAAATGGAAAAAAGAAAGTAAGAAAGAAAGCTGATTCACAGAAGAGTTTTTAAAATAAATACATCAAATGGCCTGCTGTGATACTCTTCATTTTCAATTCACTGGTGACTCTTTGATCAATGTATGAAAAGTCTTCAGCACTATGGCCTTCAGGCTAATGAATTAATCCTCAGACAGCTCCTGTGATGATTTGCAACCTTTGAACTAAAGGATGGAACCTAGAATTGTGTCTCTTATTTTTCTACAAATGGTCACATTTGTCAGATGCAAGTGAGGACAATTCTAAACTCTCTGTGGTGGTTCTAATCCAGATGCAGCCACCTATGTCTGTATCTTGCTATATAAAAATGGTCTCATTTCGTTCATTAGGACCTCTTTCATACAATTCACTTGTAGATGAAAATTATAGATATAGAAAATTACTCTTTATAACAATTTAGATATTACAAAAATACCATTTTAAATTTATGCATGAATACATATATTTGCCATATTCATGTCTTGTTGGAGCACCTTAAGACAATGAAAAAAGCTCATGTTCATCTGCTGATTTAGAAGAACAATCAGTTTAATGTCTTAAAACATTGTTGCTTCTTAGAAAAGGTTTGGGTGAAGATAAATTAAAGGTTTTGCAAGATGTGTAGTTTTTAGGAAACTGACCTTTGGAATGCATTATAATGAACATTTCTATGAATGCTTGCTGCAGCCTGTTAAAATTGTTAAGGAATGATTTTAAAAAGTTTATTTCTCGATAGCATTCTTATCTCACTGCCTGCACACCACAGAAATACACAAGATTGGGATATACTTCTTATAGCTGACCTTTTTGAATTTGGAAAACTTAGTAGGCCAGGACACGTCCTCCATCTTTCTAGCACCACTTTCTCAATTACATTTGAATTAATTCAATCCATGTAATCCAGTACCCTCTACTTTGAGTGACTACAGCTCTCTTAGGCTTTCTTTTCCAATCTCTTTTAACTGGAAATACTAGTCAAGGAATCTTGGACCTGAAACAATACACTGAGGAAATCATTGAAATATTTACATTCAACTTCACTAAAATATTGATTTTAAGTGTGGGAAATCCACCATTAAGAATTAACTTATAGTTAACTCTAAAGGATTTTTAAAGCTCTAAGGAATCAGTCAAGGTTGCAAGCTGGCTTGTGACCGTGAGGTGGCTTGTGATAATGATCTCCAGTTTATGATACAGTTAATTTGATCCTGTTTAGACTAGAGAATAAGGTAGCAAGCTAGAAAGTGGGAGACTTGAGAGTTCTGGTTCCACTTTAACCATGAAAGCCAACTGGGTCATCTTGGACCAGTTACTCTCCCTTAACCCAACTCACCTCACAGAGTTGTTGTGGGGAAAATAGGAGAAAAAAAGTGTGTTAGATATGTCAGCTGCCTTGAGTTATTTCTAAAAAACAATAAAGGCAGGATACAAATAAAATAAATTTCATTTCAGAATGGAGATACCAATTTATTGGGGTTATGATATGAACAAAAATCTCACGGGTTATTCTTAAACTCACAAACATATGTTGTTTATAACCCGTTCTTTTTGTATTGACATTATGTAAATAATGCAATTATTTTTAGTGAAGAGATTCACTCCATTGTGTGTTAAAAAAACACAAATATGAAAATGATTGCTTTGGGAAAGTACTAGAGTCATATTGTAAAATGACCAAAACACATTGTTTAATAGTGCTCTTTGGGCATATCTATGATTTGGCCAGATTATTGGAATTACAAAAAGTGATTAAGTAGATGAATGTTTTTTACCAGACAACTTTGCAAACAAGGAACTTATTCTTCAGTGTCTCAGAATAAGAGGCTAAAAGTGAAACTGATTGGCAGTGATACGAACTATTTGGGAAGAGTCACACTCCCAGTAACAACATACTTATAGCAATGGTCACTAATCACATTTCCTACTGTTGACAGATCTGCAAGATGCCGCTACTGCAAAGAAGATAGCTCAGTTCTGCACCAATTAGTAATGATTCCATGTTTTATTGGACTGCAAAATAGTTGGCTGCAAAGGCTCTTTGAAACCACCCTCCCTGCATTTTGTACATCTAAAGCGAGATTGCTAAAATAATTCTTTGCAAACCTCGCTATCAACTAATTTGCTTCATAACTCCCAGAGTTGGTTGCAACTAAACTCTTAATTATTGAGTAGCTTATACATGAATAATAACACATTTCTGGGCAGTTTCAAAATACATTTTTAAAAAATTGACAGAAACAAGTATTTTAATAAAATTTCAAATGTAGATTTCACTACAATGTAAATGTTATGGTAGATAAAATAATTGCAAGTTGATGAAAAACCAGGATCACATATTACCCAGATTAGAAATCCTAGCCATTCCCTACTGGTACTTGCTACATATGATGAAGATCTACCTTCATATTTTGTACATAGCATGGATAATAGGAGTTGTAGTCCAGCACATCTGGAAAGAGGTTGTAATTCAGCACATCAGCAGGTTCTGACCAGTTCTGGAGAACCGGTAATGGAAATTTTGAGTAGTTCAGAGAACCAGCAAATACCACCTCTGACTGGAGATTTTACAGTATCCTTCCCCTACCACTCCCACCAAGCCACACCCATAGAACCAATAGTAAAAAATATTTGAATCCCACCACTGATCTGGAAGACACCTGGTTTGAAAAAGCTGACCCACCCACATAGAGCAGCAGTTCCTAGAGATTTTCAGTCAATGGATATTATTCTCAAAATGCCCAATTCAGGGCTGGCTTAAGTTCTTTGCAGGCTGTAATCCTTCCTTCCTTCCTTCCTTCCTTCCTTCCGTGTTTTAACTAACATAATACGGTATATTCCAATCATATTGGATTTTGTTTCTAAAAAGATACATAAAGAACAGTATCAGATATACTTTGAGTGCTATTGATAACATAAATGAGGAAAACAAGAAAATGGTTATGATTTTTCTTATTGTGGAAAATGTCTTTGATAATTTTGAATGGCCTTTTATATCCATAATATTGAATAGACTGATGAACTGTAGGGATTTTCTTGCATGGGGCATGGCATTTAGAAAGAACAAGAAGCAAAATGGACTCCCTTTCTCATTCCTTTTTCTTTCAGCTTTTTTGAGGAAGATATGACAAAAAAAAATCAGGAAACAAACGGGAAAATTAAGAACTGTATGCAGGTGAAGTTGCACTTACAATTATTCATCTAAGGGATTCTTTAGAATTAATAAGCAATATGGTTTGGTATAATGATATTGAATTAATTAATAAGAACAACACTGAAATGGAGATTCCCCAAAGAAGAAAGCAACATTTGCCGCAAATGGAATTCAGTATTACTGTTAAAGCAATTAAATACTTGGGAACTTATTTAATAAAAACAATGAACATTTGTAAAAGAATAATGACTTCCAGACTTAGAAAAATATAATTATATTAAACTTATTTAACATATATTAAAATTGTCCTGGAAAGAACAGCAGCAATAAAAATGGATATTTACCAAGTTTTAATTTTCTATTTGTGGTACAAAATCTTGTATAAAACGACTAAGCCAGCTTCTAACTTACACCACAGACTGGATTTTATAATCATATGTCTGGGTTACTTTTGTTGAGAGAGCAGGGCTTCCAGACAGCTTGCATAAATAGCTTTAGTTTATAGAAATAGAAATGCAAAAACTATAGTACACTATTCAGTCAAATGAAGAAGATTAAAAATATGGAATAAACACAGAAAAAGAATGAGCCCAGATTCATTGCCCCTGCCCCAGTGTTAAATATTTATTTAATGAAGGTGAATATACAAAAATATAATCAGTGGAGAGATAATAATTCATGCAGAATTATGAATACCTAATTCTTAATAAAACGAAGATGAAATCCTTTAAGAATCTCTCTTCATAATGGCCAGAGTCATCTTCAAATAAGCACTATAATTTAAAAGGAATTGCAAAACAGGGCACAACACTTGGACTGAATGACTTGTAACACAGAACCCCGAAAACTTTGCAGAGCTTGTTTACAAGCTGATACTGAAATATTACACAGAAATTAAATAAGTTAACTAGTGCGTGATTAAATAGATGCAGAACTTAAACAGTATAATTGGTATAGAACAATGGGAATATCATAAATTTAACCTAACCCTGATACTTAAAGAAAATTGGATATAAAATATTTTACTATTAGTACATTATGCCAGTGCCGATTCTCAAAATAGATAACTCATTTTCTAAAAATTAAGAATCTGGTTGGATCACCCATTCCTATTCAGCAACAATATTGTAAATAAAAACCAACTTAAAATCCTGGGTGCATTACATTATTTGGAAAACATGCCTGATGCAAAAGGCTTAAATTATAGGATGAATTTCCTGTTCTTTTACTCTTTGGGATCAGCTATTTGTGTTATAATATGATCAAGAACTTTCATAGATGACCCCAAATTTGTTGTAATTCGTCGTTTGTCATTGTTTAGGAACAGGAATGCACAATGTTGTGAAATCAACAAATAGCTAAGAGGGAAAATTAATTCCTGCTTTCAATAGCAATTAATATTTAGTACAATATGATTTTGATTTCACTTCAGCTTTGGCTACAGATACTTGGCTGAAGGGTTGGGAAATAAATGCTGAATACAGAAACACTTCTTGCTCAAAGACTTTCAGAAAGAAGCCAAAATAAGCCAGTGCAATCTCTCTTTGTCCCCAATCTCTCTTTATCAATCTGTACCAGTCTGTGCACTGACACTGAAGCAGTTCAAACAAATGCTGGCAGAGATTTTGTTAGGAAGATGTCAATTACAGCTGGTAATTGTCAGTGCCGACCTTTAGGAAAAAGGCAAAATCACTGACAGTCTTTCAACACAGCCATTACTCTTAGTTCAGGGTGACATAACAGGAAGCTCTCAGATATAAATCAGATGTTCACAAATATATATATATTGCTGGAGAACAGAACAAAAATCCTATATTCTAATATCTCTCTCAAGTAAACCTGTTGAGGTAATTCCCCGTTAGGAGAATGAGCGTACACAGGGAGAAGTAGTAAGAGTAGTGAAGAATAACACACACAAAGCACACAGCTACACTGTATAGTAAAATGTAGGTTTTTACTTCCAACAAACGTTTAAGCAAAGTCCAAACAAGCAGTCCAAGTCATTCACAGTTAAAGCAGTCAATTTTCAGTCCAGGAATAATCCAATAACAAAGTCCAATGTGGCAATCGGAAAAGACTGAGCTGAAGTCTTCACTCCAGTCTGTGTTTCCAGCGGGAACAAGGACCGTTCCTATTGGCTGATGCTGTTTGACAACCGGCTATAAAAGGGAGCTGTCAAATGGTATCAGCTGTTGCCCGCCAGCTGGCTGCCTTGTTAGCGCGGCAGCCGCAGCAACCCTTTATTGTTACAATAAAGTAAAAGCTGAAGTTCGCTCTGTGTTTGCCTCAGGTTATTCCGCCGCTCCACAACACTGGCAACGAGGGCGGGATTCCTATAAGAGGAAACCGGGCAAAGAATCGCTGAGCGAAGTCACTACAAAAAGAGCCGAAGTCACTATCGAGCTGAATGTCACTTTAAGAGCTACTGTCACTATTTGCGAGCGCGAATTTCAACTTTCCTTGAAAGATCCAGCACCGCTGAGTCAAGATGACTTCGAACCCTTCATTCCCGCTTTTCAGACCGACAGCGGAAACATGGGAGTCCTACAGAAACCGATTTGACTGTTTCCTAGATGCCATAGACCTTGCTGACATTTCCGACCATAGGAAAAAGTCCTACTTTTTAAGTTTTTGCGGAGCCACAGTGTTTGACACTGCTACGGCATTATTGGCTCCACGTTCAATTAAGACTGTTCTATGGGAAGAATTGCAGGAAATTCTTTCCAACCACTATTCCCCTAAGCCATCCGAAACGCCTGAAGTCGAGACGCCAGCTTCATCGGGACCAGAAGTTGCCCAGCAAGCAGAAAAGTTCCTTCCAGCAGCAGCTTCGTCAGGACTTAGAAGATCTGGCTGCCAGTGCAAGCGTCCAAATTATCTGAAGGACTACGCATGCTCCGTTCTGGGGGAAAGGAGTGTGGCGTTCGGAAAAGACTGAGCTGAAGTCTTCACTCTGGTCCATGTTTCCAGCAGGAACACGGACGATTCCTATTGGCTGATGCCGTTTGACAGCTGGCTATAAAAGAGAGCTGTCAAACGGCATCAGCTGTTGTCTGCCAGCTGGCTGCCTTGTTAGAGCGGCAGCCGCAGCAACCCTTTATTGTTACAATAAAGTAAAAGCTGAAGTTCGTTCTGTGTTTGCCTCAGATTATTCCACCGCTCCACAACATCCAGTATCAAAAACAGTTCAGTAACAGACTTACATCAAATCCAACTATAACAGTCAATAGGGAAAAATGGAGGAATGGCAACACTCTCCAGAACAACAGAACAGGAACTAAACAACCCAGGTTTCTGGCTCCAACCCCCCCCCCCCCCCTTTTGTGAAATTCACAACAAACATTCTAATATTCTTTAAACTATTAACCATCTCATGACCATAGTAGATCTCTGATTCCCCATCCCATATACAGCTCCTTACCTTCCCAACGTACAAAGGATCTGTTCCCGTGTATTCTTCCAGAACAAAGAACTGGTTCCACACCCAACTCCTCTTCATTCGCTGATGAAGAAGCAAGTTGTCTGAGAGATTTTGTCCTTGGCCTTTGCTTGGAGATCTGCTAGTTCCAGATAATACAGTTGTAATGAGGTTCATCATAAAGCAAAAACTGAGTCCAAGCCACTTCTTTGCATTGTCCATTCTGCTTGATGTCCGCATTTTCATATGAGGATTGTCCTCTAAAGAATCCAACAGATAGGTCCGTGAAACTTCCAAATAAAGCCTTTCAGTGATACTGGGCAAGCACCTTAAAGGAGAATAATATCCTGTAAAGTTAAAGAAGATTTACTATCAGCTTTTTTGGGGTGGAAAAAAAACCCTCTTAAAAAATAAAAAAATAAAGCTGAGCCATGGAGTATTTGATCTCCCTCATAAAAATGTAGGCCTGTTGCATATAAAGGAAGCTTCTTGTTTGAAATGAAGGTAATAATTGACTAGCTAGAGAGGAAGGCCTTGCTAGAAGAACTGCTGGATTTCACTATATTATTAATTGACTTGGGTCAACAGATACTTTCTTTGGAAATATTTATGACCAAATGTCTTTGATAGTAGTTACAAGGAGAAATTCTGTTGGTATAAATTATAATTCATAACTAATAACTATGCAATGATTTCTCTTTCTCTCCCTCTCCTCATTTGATTTCTGCAACATTTTCATTGTTACCTACATCTTTTTGATCAATGATATTATAACACTTTGATTTAAATTTAGCAGCTTCCATCTATTTTTCACTTTCATTATTTTTTTAGTAGTCAACCTTCCACCACTTTAAGTCAGCTTCATATTTTTGCTTGCTCTTTGAAAAACCAGTGACATCAGCTAATGCGACATTTCTGGTTAATCATTATATTATCCCCCCAAAATGTCCTAATACTGAAAGAAGTATCTTCCAACACTTCCAATGCATATAGTTGTGGCCATAGATTTTAGTGAGTCAACATATATTCTTCCTCCTTGAATCTGAAAGACTAATTTGGATCAAGGCATACTGATCTCCATAAGAGGATGTTTCATCAAAAAAATTTTTTGATGTTAAATTAGATGGTACCTTTATTCAGGTTTTGCTTTGTGATAGTCTTTTCTTTCATTGTTTTGATGGACTTAATGAGGTGGCCTTGCAATCTTTACTTGGTCAGTGTACTTCAAGAACATTCTTTTAGGGCAAAAGTGTTAAAGTTTGTATTTTTTTGTGGGGGGGGGATTAAACCCATTCTCAAGAAAGATTATTTTTTTAAAGTCCACTAGGATCTAACTCTATTCTCTATTATGAAATTAGGTTACTGATTTGACTATCAGTTGAATTATTTTAACTACACGGATGAAAAGAGAATAGGCCAATCCTATTCTGCTTTTAAGTAATTTACCCACCCCCTCAAAACAAATGTTATTGTGAAATTGTTATACTACTCTGGAAAGGATGCATATATGTAAGTAGAACTGGTAGCCTAATCATATTTTACAGGCATGAGAAGTCAATAGATGAATGGGCACTGCAAGTCATAATATTGCCTTTTAAAAAAAGTATCAAGTCTAATTAGTAGGGAAAAATCAATTGTAATCATTGTTGATTAAATATTGTTGAATATATTTTATAAACAGAAGAACAATAAGAAGAGGAAATGTTTTCAACACATGTTCTGAAAATGTATTAATATTTCTGGATGCAACCTGGAATCTTTCTCCATTCTTTTAACCTAAGGCTACTGAAGCTATGATGAAAACAACTCCTATGGTCGAACATTTCATCATCTAAACCTGTGATTTAGGTTGTTTTATGCTGCTGTATGCTAGCCACTGCCATGAGGCAGAATTAATGGTCTGAGTTTTGAAGGTGAAAAGTAAATTTCCATATCTGTTAACACAGGAAAGTTGCATTGAGCCACACATGTTTAAAACTTCAGATTTGCAGCTATATTAGAAATGCCCAAGTATTTTGATTCTTTTATCAACAATGCAAGTCAGTAAGTCTTACCAATTTGTTTTCTGACAGAACTGTCAAAATATGATATGATTCACAGTAATATAGATCTCTCTCTTTTCTTCTTTTATCTCCTCCCCTTCCAAACTGTTAGGACTATACAAAACTCCAAAGGAATGCTTTAATTCAAAGAAGATCGGATCAGATTACCTCAGTTGAAGCAGATTTACGAATTGAAACGGACACTCAGTCAACACAGCAAATCAAAGCAGATGGTTTCAAAGATTTGATGGCTTTTCCACTGCTTCTGTGGTCCTTACAAACAATGTACAATGATGCTACAATTTCACTTCCACATAGGGAGAATGCTAAAGTTTGGCCATAGATGTGATATGAAGTGATGTGCTCCCTGACACTGACCTGTATATCAGAGATCTTTGCTATGACAAGCCTTGTACATTTTCTTGGTTCTTGAGGTGCTGAATGTGGACAGTCACCTGCCTTTGATTTGCTTTCCCTTGGGGTAACAGAATGGTGAAGATTTGTACATCTCCCGGCTAGCAGATTTAGGAGCCCAACTCTATTCTCAGCACCCTGAATATGGACTTAAAGTTGATGAGCCTGGTATGCACTTTTGTCTTTGTCTTCAAATCTAAAGAGTTGCAATAGGCTTACATCTTTTGATAATAAGTCAATGGGCATCAGAATATCATTTAAGGAATTGGCATAATTGGTTACTACTTTTAAGAATACGACAGTGGTAAGGTTATGAATAGGCTGACATCTTTCTTTGAGGCCTATCTCTGGCATACTATATTTCTCAGTGTATCAGCCTGCCTCTGATTGTTAGTTGACATGGAGCACTGTCCACAATCCTGATAGAATGTTATACTGTGTACAAATCTCTCTGCAGCATTTGAAAAATAATATAAACCCTAGATAACAGGATAATCAAACAATCAAAGGTTTTCTTCTCTACAAGAAAAGCTTAAAACATTGAGGACTCTTTAGTTTGGAAAATAGGTGACAAGCCATCTTATATGAAATCAGGCACAGCATAAAATTGTCCAGTGAAACTAATTGGGAAGAATTTTGCAACAGATATGAGAATATATTCCTGTTTCCTGCTTGAAAACTTCCAAAGGCATTTGGTTAGTTATTTTTGGAGACAACTTTATAAGATAATTAAGATAAAGTTATCTTTAGAAAAATTGAAACATTGCTAATTATGTATTCCAAGTAATAGAGATCTCTGATTTCTGTTAAATATAAACTTAACAATGTTCATGCTTTGGAAACTAATTTTTTATTTAATTGCACCAGGCAACAAAACCTGGAAAGAAGAGAAAAATATAGTAAGCTATTTGCTTTTAAATTCCAATAAGTGTTTTTGAATTTGCACAGCATAATGTAATGGCTTTTGCTAAGCAAGATTTTAATCTTATTACATTTTTATAGTAGAACCATTGACTTGATAATAATAGATGTTAAAATATTATGCTAGTAGCTTCCTGCAGTCACATGTTTCTGGCAATGGCCAATAGTCTAGCCTAGTATGGCACTGATGATGTTAAACTTATAATTGATATAATAGTTTTAATTCAAAATCCATAATCACCATTGCTTCTTTCAGTTGAAATCTATGAAAGTTTCAAAAATCTCCACTTCCAATGTAGATTTGAGTTTGTGTTTGTTTTTAAATCACAGTTATAAATTTTAGATATGCATGGTTTATTCAATCCATGTAGCACATGCGTTTTCTTTTCTCTTTAATCTAGTTCAGAACCACTGGATTAGGCAATTAGAAATTCTGTAAATGTTAGAATATTGTAAATGTGAGGCTGAGAGTAAAATAATAATTAAAGATGATGCATCATAGTTCATAGATCACTTGTTTAATATCTAACTTCTATTCCTTATCATATTTTGTTAAAATGAGAGTTTATTATTTTATTTATTTATTCATTTCATCAATTGTAATACATGTTATTTTATCTATATTCCATAAATTCAGATAACCAGATTTTATGTCATTTACATTTAGCGCTTATATGACTAAAACAATTTCTAGAAAGCTTTCTCAACGAATAAATTAGAATAACTATTTAGGTTCAGATGGTATTTGGTATTATCTGATAATATAAACATGAACTGAAAAGAGCCAATGACTGAAAAACATGGAGAACAAATAACAAATAACAGAGGGGTATAATGTAGATTCCCATCTCACACACTGATAGCAATCAAAATCCTAAATTATTATTCATTAATGATGTAATAGTGCTAGTGTAAATTAGGTTATTTACATCATTGTATCTAAACTATTAATCATGTATCATATAAACAAAAGAAAAATAAATACATTTAGTACAGGGAGTCCTCAACTTACAAATTTGTTTAATGATCATTCAAAGTTACAACGTCACTGAAAAAAGTGACTTATGACCATTTTTCACACTTATGATCTTTACAGCATCCCCATGATTATGCGTTCAGAATCTGAATGCTTTGCAATTGGTTCATATTTATGATGACTGAACTGTCCAGAGGTTACATGATCACCTTTTGCGACCTTCTGAGAAGCAAAGTCAATGGGGAAGCCGGATTTACTTAACAATCATGCTAACTTAACAATTCCCCTGATTCAATTAACAACTGCAGTAAGAAAAGTCATAAAATAGGGCAAAATTCACTTAACAACATAAATTTTGGGGCTCAATTGTGGTTGTACATTGAGGATGACCTGTGTGACATGGAAATAAAAATCTAATGATAAGAATAAATTATTGATACAATCATAACAATAATGAATAATTTGTTTCCAAATAAAACCTGGAAAATGTAATGTTGGAAGATGTAGAAAATTGGAAGGACTTATCAGAAGAATGAGGACTAGCCAGAATGAATAAGATATCAGGAAGCCTGAAAAATACCCCTCTCTACCAAATTTTTCCAAATTTGTTCAATTGAGAATAATAAACAAAACAGAACAAGAAAGAGTAAAACTTGATGTAAGATCCAATTTTCATCTACTGTGCTTGTATACCTCTTGTTTAACTGTTCCATGTAATTAGGAGATTAATCTATCAATCATTCATTGATGAACACTGCAAATAAACTGCTGGCGTTTGACTCAAAAAAGAAGCAAAACCATTCAATTGCACTCCCACACTTCTTTTTCAGAACTTAGTATGTTTTCCATATATAGAAAAGCAAAAGCAAATAGGTTACTAGTACAATATTTTT